ACACACACACACACACACACACACACACACACACACACACACACACACACACACACACACACACACACACACACACACACACACACACCCAACACCGTAATGTACGTTTACAGCGAGCCATGCAGCGTACATACATCCACGCCATGTGGAGTTCACACACGGCTGCACACTCAACTGACACGCCGGCCGTCATACGTGTCGTGGGTTTCCACTGAGAGGCCCCCACACAGAGACACACTTCAAAAAAGACGTCGAAGACCCACAATTAAGACGTCCTCTTATATATTTTGGATAATATGAGGTAAGTGGCACAGCGCGGTTTGCTCGTTTGACGGCTGGAACGCTGCAAAATGACGGCGTAAGCAACAATTACCCTAATTGAAGATTCCAGAACAGTCCTGCAAAATGGCTGCCGAGCCGGCATGCCGTCTGTGATGGCCGACAAGAGTGTGTAGGTTTGAGGCGTGTATAGCTGCGCGTGTGTATTTGTCTGTCTGTATGCCTGATTGTATATAAATGTGTGTGTGTGTGTGCGATAAGTCTATATGAGAGTAATCCTGCGTTTGCTTTTTCTTTTTTTTTTCGTTTGCTTTGTGTCAGGGGAAGTCTCCGCTCGCCGGAGAGCTCTGCTAATCCATAATTACCCACCTCAGTATACCTAGACTGTAGGAGCCATTATGTCAAACCGTCTTACTGTAACAGTTGATGATTATGTTTCCTGGCTTTGGTAAAAAAGCGCAGACGTTTAGCTTTGAGAAGAAGACTCAACATCTCCGTTTTTTTATTTTTATTTTTTTGGCTTTCGGCTTCACGACGGCCATCTTCAAAACGTCTGCGTTATCACAAGATCGCCATTAAGGTGCTGAATGTGTTCTGCCGAAGAGCTGACTTTGTTGTTTCTTTACAGCTCTCTGCCTTGGCCAGTCCAGGACCCAAATGCACGGCCAGCACCACGTCCAGCTACCCACCCACCCACCCATCCATCCGCCCAAACAGCCAGCCCAGCCCTGCGCAGAACTGGCAACTCGCAGGAGTCATCAGGGTTAGTGCTCCATTGGCACGCCTCTGTGCCAAAATCATATCGTAAACCTATAGATCTGCACTTAAACCCAAAGGCCAGACAATCAGATAATATGGAGGAAAAGCCGAAGCGGGTGAATGAACAAAGAGCCGCTAATAAAACAAGGCTGCTTCTCGCAGTCACAATCCGAGCGACGAAAAGCGGCGTATCCTTGTCATCTTAAGGGGGGTGGGGGTTTACTGACGGCCATTTTGTTTGTTGACATCCTCGGATCTCTTCATGCGTTTACACAAAGAGCACAGAGTTCATTTTCCTCATCAGTTCTCTTCTGACAGCAGCTCGATACATTATCTAAGAAAGAGCAGCTTCCAGAGGTGGCTGCCTGCTTAAGTACACACACACGCACACATGTAGTCGCACACGCTTTTGTACAGAGATAAGCAGCATTCTTTCATTTACATACCCACTTTTTTCTGCTCTTATTAGCCTACACACACACACACACACACACACACACACAGATTATAAGCATCACTGGATTAAGTTAAAGCTGTGCCGTTTTGCTAATAATTCAAATACTGCAAGTGCTCGCCTTTTCTGCAGTTCATCAGGGAGACGCTCTAAAAAGACAAAGCTGAACTAAATGACTACCAGCGCTCGGGCCTTATCGCGACTGTGTGGGTGTGCGGCTTGTGTGCTCATGTGTAAGAGAGAGCGACGGCGTGTGTGCGCGTGCGCACGCCAAAGGTCGGGCGTACACATATAGATCTCTGCCGCCGCTTCCAGTGCATTTGTCAAGCGATGGCATGGACACAATGTCCTGTCGAACAGCGGCGAGGAAAGACGGAGACGAGTAACGCGCCGCCGTACGTTCACACGAGACGGGCCTGCTGATGGGGTGTGTCTGTGGATGTGTATGTATAGGTGTGTGTGACATAAAGAGAGTATGCGTGTGAACGTGAGATACCTCTGCTATCTGCTATTGATTGAGTGTATAATTGTCTCCCCTACGCTCTCGCTGCCAACTACTGTAATATCAATACAAAGGAGCCATTAGCTTAATGCCTATAAATACAATAGAGGCTCCAGGGGAGAAAAAAAAGGCAGCTTGGCTTTAAAAAAAAAAAAAAAATAGAAGAATTTAAGAAAACGTCGAATATGATCTCTGAAATTACCTTCTACTCTTAATGGGGACCAGATAACCGTAAACGCACAGTGTTGTTTTCTAAATGAGACAAACGCACATCCTGCGATATTTTATCCGTCATAATATCTGATAATTATACGTGCTGTTACAGAGCAGTACAAGTAGAGACTCACTTAAAAGAGCTTCTGGTTTTCGGTGCTAACCTAAGGACAATTTAAAAATCGGGCCATACAAGAGGTAAAGTTAAAGAGGCCGAAGTAAAGACATAATCTTGTTTTCTTAAAGTGTTTAAATGGAATTATATGGATGCTCACTTTGGACTAAAAGGTAATATGAGGACATGAGTGTGTGTGTGTGTGTGTGTGTGTGTGTGTACCTGTGTTTGGCAGACGGCCTTTCAGACCTGAGTAAAAAGGAAATGGATGCTTGGCAAATGCTCAGCCAGCATCTTTATCGCTGCTGCTCTCAGAGCTGACCACCACAGCTCCTTAATAACAGACACACAAAACACAGAGTCACGTCTATTTATACTCGCAATAACACCTCGCAGCCTGTCAGTACCTTTCTAGAGATAATATATAAGATGTGCCGCCATACAGCGGACCGCTCGGCTCCATTAACGCAGACAGTTATCATCTGATTTAAAGATGAAGAGGAAGGAAACGGGAAACTAAAGAAATCATCATTGTGACCATTTTTTTCTTCGTTTTCCCCAGCGTGTGATGATTTGCTAAAAAAAATAAATAAATAAACAGGAGGAGAGTTTGACAGAAGTGGGCATTGCGGTTAATAATGTGGGTCTAAAATGCAAAGAGGGGAGGATGTTCTCCACAGCAAAGCTTTTTGCCTCCCTGGCTTCCTTCCCAAGACAACAGACATCGTCATTTTCCAACTCAATTTACAGACGCATTAGGAGATGCTGAGACGCGCCCAACTCTCTCAAATGCAATCAGCCCGCCTGTGTGTTTTAAGAGGAAATTGAGGGTGCCTTCTTTATCGACTCCTTTTTGACTTCTCCTCTCGTCTTCTGGAGACTCGCTGTTTTTCTTTTTCTGCATGCAGACTTTATTCACAGCCAACCTTTCCTAATTCGACTTCCTTTTACATGAAAATCTGAGCACGTGTGTGCTGAAACCATTCTGTCAAAGCTTTAGATGTAGTCATCATTTATGCTGTGGTAGGTTCAAAATATCACTGCTCTTTAGATTTCAAAAAATCGGGTCTGTCTTTAGCTGCTTGGTTAATCTTCATTCATCTGAGCACGTTTTGCAAATTTTTGATTATTTTTAGGTGCCGAAGAACAACAAAGCCCTTTAAGTCCTAAGATTTAAGGCCTCACGTCTCCTGAAAAGAGGTTTTTCAATCAATCTCACAGTTTTATTTCAGTTAATGTTATTTCTAAGCTTCTTTTTTTTTTTTTTTACAAAGGGCCCATCTAAAATTAAATGCAGGGCTAAATGTTAAATGCAGATGCCACAGTCAGTGCTTTTTTACTTTTCTTCTTTGCCCACCACATACTTACTTAATTACCAAAAATAAGCTAGTTTGACAGTTTTGTTTCTGTTGATCTCAGATCCTGATATAAATAAAGAAGCACTCTTTAAACCTGGCTTCGTGAAACCAGCAGATTCTCTCTGTCTCTGTAATTGATTTCACACGTTTAAGCTTCGCAGTAGTTTTGTGAGTGTGCTTAGTGGAGACACTCAGGACAAAGTCCACTCTATCCACGTAGTTCCAGTTGCAATGCCTACAATCCTGCAACGTGCAGCATCCTGTTTGACCCTTAGCTAAACATATGACTAATTGTGAGCTCAAGGTAATAAAAAAAAAAAGCAAAAAACTGAAGAGGCAGGAGCAGACAAAGGAGGAGGGCCGGCAGCGGCAGAAATCAGAGGAAGAGATGGAGAAAGCGGCGGTTGAAAGAGAAGAAAGAGACGCGTTTGAATAGATCTGCCATTACGCCGCCTTATCTTTCGGTTCCTGCGTTCTCGCACAAATGTCACAGATCATTCAGCCTCTTTTTTCACCCTCCATTTCTCGCAGCATCACCCCATTTCTTGTACCAGCTGTTCACTCATCTGTTTCACTTTTGATCTGCTCATTTTTGCATCACACTCTTTCTCTCTGCCTCCTTAACAATTTTTTTCCTCCCTCTCTTATAAGCCTTAAACACTCAATTTTCTTCAATAAGCACTTCTCCTGAATCACCCTCTGAGAACTCGCTCACATGTATAGCGCCAGTATTGATTATTTCTCACTCGGCGAGCACACAAAGCGTTATTCGTATATGCTGTTAAATGGCTTTCTTTTTTTTTTTTATCTGCCGAGCAGCTGTGTAGATCCATAGTGCTCAGGTGGAGGTGGGGAAGTAAGGAGGAGGAGGGGTAGTGGAGGGGGGGTCTCTCTCTCCTAGCTTGTGGACGTTATCTTGAAACGAGGGGCTGGCTGCCATAGCAACCATATGATGAAGCAGGCAGGGCTATTTAAAGGAATTCAGCTGCTGCTCGCGTTCCCGTCAGCTTCAAACCGGTCCAGCGAAAGACAAAGAAATAGATCCCCGTCTCTCCGAGCCCTCCGATCTAATGGCTCGGTGACAAAATGGAGAAAATGTGACAAAGGGAACGTCTAAATGTAGACGTACTCCCCTTAAACAACTTACAATACGTACAATACTGAAATATTCTGTTTTGTTTGGTTTTTTTGTTGTTGTCTACAACTCCTCAGGATGTATTCTCCAAGCACCATTTGAAGTGTTTTTAATAAATCAGCTTTAATCGCAGCCTTCCCGGCAAATCTCGCATCCAGCTTCTAACTGCAAAAAAACGAATGCACTTCCTGTTTTCTGTTAAAATATAAAATGTAGTTAAAGCTTGATGTTTGTGGCATTTTCTTTATTTTACATTGATGTGTATATGCTTGAATTATCTGCAGAAGGGGCCACTGTACTGTGTAATGTCTCAAATTATTCATGACAAATAAACCCATACTTTTCCTCCAGAGAGGTATTTCTCAGTGGACAGCAGCAGCACACGAGGAAACAAGTGCGAGACGAAGAACAACTGCTGTGCACACACACACACACACACACACACACACACACACACACACACACACACACACACAGGAAAGCAGAGAGCGCGCACAAAGGGAACACACTCCTCGTACGCCGCTTTCTCTGTCAGTATAGTCATTTGAAGATGCAGACTTGAAGGAAAGCGTACATATATTTCCTATTGCCCTCTTGAGGAAATTGGATTTTAGCTTAGCCTCCCATGTGTCGCAACATTTAACTGATGAATGAGAGGCAGTGCTTTATTTTTCTTTTACTTCTCCATCTCAGCTTTACACCAAATAAGCCCCCACAGGAAGCTGTTATGAGCACAGTATTCAGGATATAAAAGTTAGTTTTCCCAAGTCAGCAAATTAAGGCAGAGATCAAATAAGCTGCAGCAGCCTGGGCGATCCAGGAGTGAAACAGTGATGTTTATTAATCAAGGGGGAGGAGTCCAGACAGCACTTCATTTTCGACCTTAATTGTAGGTATTTGTGTGACGTTTACACAGTTTCCTAAACTGTTAATGGTTTAATTAAGAAAATAATGGGAAGGTTAATTTATATTAAACATGACAGCTAGTTGCAGACTTACTGTAATGGGTCTGTTCCAGAACAAATTAGCATCAGCTAGAAAAGTGAAAACGTTTAACACTTTGGAGGAATCAGACTCGCTGGTTTGGGATCACTGGGTGGATAGGTGATTCTTCCTCTCTCATTAATGTTCTTTTATCATGCTGATATTCACCACCATTTTAATTTGAAGTGCACAATAACGGATAAAACCACTGGTGTTCTTTATCACTGAGTCGAGCCCAGCGTGCTGTTCCAAAGCCTGTGAGAGCAGTCAGGAAGATTTAAAGTGCTTCATAGAAGCAAAATTATGAGTGACCTCTCTCGTAACACTCCCTCCGCTCGTAATACTCGCTCCGCTCTTCACTCTGCTCTTTATCTCACTCTAATCCCAACTCATTTCATATGCTAAGTAAAAGCTTATATCCCCTCTTCACTGTACGTACACACACGCACTTCATCGCTGTGGCGTGATTATAAAATTTGCATAGAGGATGTTTTCGGAGCTGTGGAGAGCTAAAGCGGGGGTTGTGGGTGGTCTAATGTCTGGCAGGTGTAGAGAGGTGGGGCAGAGACTCCCAGAATCTCGCTCACGTCTGGATTTACGATAACCCAACAAGAGGAACCCAGAGAAAGTTCCCTCGTGTCTCGGCGTCTCTCTCTCTGCTCGCCTCAGACGGTTTCCTCGGATTCTAATTTGCATCTTCTTCTTCCTTTTTTTCTTTTTTCACAGCTGCCACAGATGTAGCGAAGATTAGGAGAGAGAAGAAGAGGCATAGCTGACTCTGTGCACCCAGGGAGGATGCAATGAGGTGGAACTGCCTCTCAGCTTCCCACTGGAAAAAAAAAACTTTACCCATCAGAGCGCCATCTGCTGACACGGACACGGTGGGGCGGGACAGCTGGTGTTGTGAATCAGGCCGCCACAGTCCAGGGACCGGCTACTTCCCAACACCAGGGTCTCACCATCACCCCTCACATCTCATTCTGCGTGTATTTGTCAGCTAATGTTCTAGTTTGGTTGTTGTTGTAGTCTCTTACATTTGTTCATGTTGTTACTTGTTTGTTTTTTGTAAAAACTACTTCTCACTTGACTGAAAGTAAAATTGCCTGTGTTGTAAATTACACACTATAATACCTGGAAAAAATACAACAAAAAACCCAGTTGAAGTGCCATTGTGAGAGTAAATCTTCCAAAAAATATGGAAAAAATGAGACTATAAATTATCTGTCGTTTTAGTAGGGTAATTAAATAAAGTCGTCAAAATATGTCTGAGAACATTTGTCAGTTTTTTTGTTGTTGTCCCAATTATAATTTGTAAGCAAAATGTCAGAGTTGCCAATACTCCTCACTAGTTCCATCCATATTAAATAGGAATCAAACAGTAATGGGATCCCACAGGGCTCTATTTTGGGGCCTTTATATTTGACTTTTTGACCTGTCCAGGTTGTACCCTGCCTCACGATCTGAAAGTTTCAGTGATGTAAATAAACTTAATTTATGACTGGACATCTGGACATTTATGGTTTTGTGTGATAAGCCCAAGGAAAGGGCTTACTGTGGTGCCAGCGCTCTTGAACTTTAGTGCACACTGACTGAATCACATAAGCCCCAACACATGTGAAACTTAACATTATAAAATGTGATGAATATATGGCACATCAGTTTTACCTCCTTCTTATTAATCTGCATCCATCATTATGCTGCATTCATCTCGTTTCCCCGTTTCAAGAGATGCATGATCTACTTGAAAACTATGCACAAAATACATAGCATACCTTTTTCAGACATCTGCATGAATAGCTGGCACAAGTGTGGTTGATGGAAAGAAGTATATAAAACACCTCTAAAACTAAGCCCCGCTTTCAGGATGCTATAGCCATAATTGGGCATTTTCAGTCAATTCAGAAAAGAACTACGTAGAATGCACTCCACACACACACAGTTTGATGCAGTGCCGGTCTCAGCTTTTTTTAAGCACACCTCTCCCGCCTCACTAAAAAAACGGAAAGAAGACTGTCATCAGTCCAAACGCCACCAGCTGTGTTCTCACCTGCCTCCCCAGCACCACCCCGTTGAGCCCACTGCACCACTCCTCCCCTGCAGCCGAGCCCGGGACCACACCTCCACCACACACTAATATCAAACAATTACAGCTTCGGTTCACCCGCACATCTACACACAGTATTTGCTGCACCACTCTAGTTCATGTCTTAGTTTTAGACCTTGGATAAAAACAGTTTTCTATTTCATCCCATTAATCTACTTATTACACTCACATGAGAATGTGCAGCTATATCATCTAAATATGGCCTGAGGGCTGGAATGTGATCCTTGGACTATCTCACTCCAGTCAGTAATATCCTTAAGAGAATTAAAGAACCCTTAAAAATGAAAATGGGAAGGGTTATGCAGGGGAATCTCAAGGTTTATGACTGTTCTAACACTGCACTGCTACTGAACTCTACTCCAGTGACATGTATTTCATCACTCATTCAGGCAGTGGTGCATATCAGACAACCGGCAAAATGCCGGCTAATTTATTTATTATTTACAGTACTGTGCAAAAGTCTCAAGCCACCATTTATTTCTTTATATATTTCTTGGAAATGTGGAAATATGTGAGGTGATTTATTGATATGTGCAAATATAAAAGGAAATACAGTATACAAGGCAAAATCGGAGATTGTACAAATCTAACAAGCTTGAAAGTCAATATTTGGTATGACCACCTTCAACACTACCTGAACTCTCTTAGGCAAGCTTGCTCATAATTTATTTAAAGAGTCAAGGAATAGTTCGAGGCTTCTTAGACAATCAAAGCTCTTTGGATGTTGGCTGCCTTTTCTTCCATTCTCTATTAAGATGATCAAGATGATCCCACACTAATGCTGAGATTCAGGCTCTGGGGAGGCCAGTCCATGACTTATAGTGCTCCATTGTGTGTTTTTCTATCCAGGTATGCTTCATTGACAGTCTGTTTGGGATCACTGTCATACTGAAAAATAAATCTGCTGCCAAACCATACATTGCAGATGGTATTGCACAGAGTTCAGTGTCTGATGGTACTTTTCTCTGTTTAGAATTTCATCAGTGATTGAAACTATAAACACAGATATTATAATTTCAACAAGATCCTCATGTAACCCCAAACCAAGACAAAGTCTCCACCATCTTTTACTGATGACTGTTGAAACTCACTGCTGTGTTTCTCTTGTCCTCCTATGTACTTACTGATGACCATCCATTCCATTCAGGGTTGCAGATGTGCTAGGGATAGGGTGAAAAGCAGGGTATAACCTGAACAGCAACCTGTACATTAGTCTGTACATACAGTGATGTGAACCAAAGAATTTTGGGTTCATTACGTGATCAGAAATGTTGTTCAGTCCACTTCTTTTGTAATTTGGCATACATAAGCCTTTTCTTCCTGGTTCCCTTCGTTAGGAACGGCTTCTTTATAGCCAACCTTTCACTTACAACATTTCTGACGAGGCTTTAGTGAACAGTAGATGGATCATCTGAAGGGCCAGATGCATGTCTCAGGTCCTGTGTCAGGTCATTGCTGTTTTTTTTCCCCTTTTCTTACATACATGACTTTCAGTTGCTGTTCGTCTGCTGTGGAGAGTTTTTGGCAGGCTTTTTGGTACCATTTTTCTTAACTCTTCAATGATTCATGGATCAAGTTTTAGTCATTTAGCACACGAAAATATTCCTCTGAAAATAGTCCAATACAGAGACAAGAATGAAAATGAGTGAAAAAGCAGCCAATGTCCAGAGAAGACTTTGAAAGACCAAAGCCTGGAGAACTAATGCACAATCATTATTTTGAAATAAGTTTGTGTTCACAGCAATTAATATGATTTTATTACATTAACATAGTGCGAGATTCTGTTGGCTTTAGACCAAAATTCCTGGTAGAAGCGTCCTCAATTGTTACTTTTCCTTTGAGTACATTCCAGAGCCTGTACTTTGTTGCTATTACTTGAGTGAATAGGTTAAATCATTAACAAGAGTATTACAAGAGTATTTTAATACAAGTATGTGCACTTCTAATTGAGTACAGAATATCTATAGTTGGGCCACCTCTGGTTAAAAGTTAGTATAGTTATAGAAGTTATTTGTATAGGCAATGTGCGTAGGACGGCTAAGAAACGCAAAATGCTCTGCGCATGCGCAATGATTCGGGCACACCTTAGCTCCCCATGTCAATCTCAAATTAACAGTGAGCGGCAGCAACACGAGTGCGAGGGCCCCGAATAGTAACGTAATGATGGTTTAAGAAGAACCAGTTCCAGCGTTACTCTGAAAAATACTTTTATAGCAGCCTGGTAAATTATTTAATAAGTTTTGGAAGGCACAGTTTTAACTGTTAGCATGTTTCCATCTTCTAGCAGGGTGAAACTCAACAGAGTTGCGCTAAAAGACGTTGTTGGGTTAAAGCTGACCCCGCGGCGGAGACGAGTCCCAAAGTTACTGAATAGAATTTCGGCTGAAAGCAAAAAACAAGAGAAAAACTTTGATTCCGTGCAGCTAATTTCAGAGAAAGATATGGTGTCACCTCCGGGCAGCAATGAACCCGACCAAAACTTAACGCACACAATGGGTTCCGAAAAGAAGACACAGCCGCCGAGCACTCACGACGAGGAGGAGCCGGAGGAGAATGGCTCAGGTACGCAGAAAACAAAGAGTAAAGTAGACTCTGAGTCACGAGGCGCTGATAAACAAGACGGGCCGAACACTAGAGGCAAGTATCAACAGAGCAGGGGGGTCAGAAACACGTGCCTCAGACCGCGGTTTATTTGGTGTGTTTTCAAACGGCTCCACGGTAGGACGAATCCAAGGAGTGAAAGGTCCAAATATCAAATGAAGCTGACAAGCCAGGCGACTCTGGCCAGGAGGAGGAGACAGACCGATTTAACGTCGGGTAGATGTCCTTTCAGACAGTGCGACGTTAATGGTAAAAGTGGTGTGGCACGCCGGGCTAAAAGCGTGAGGGTCGGTGTTAGAGAGGGACCGAGTTCAGTGAAGGCCACGTCCGCCAGGTGTGATCCTCAGCCCGCTGCTGCTTCTGCAAAATCGGGAGGAGTGCGAAGGGAATCCCAAGTAAGGTGCACTTTAGCTGGATTATAAGTTAGAGTTTTTAAGGTTAAAGGTTTTAAGGTTGGTTAAATTGCACTGCCTTTAAATTGATTTTACAATTGGGCGTTTTGTGATAGGTTTATGCTTTTAGCTAACTCTTTGCTAATTTGTGCCAAATTGTGTCAGATGCTAAGCTAACAATGTGGTAAAGTCCCACTGAACACGATCCAGTTTTAGTGGATATCATGCAGTTCATGGTTGAACCTGACATGAAGGATCTTCTTAGCTATTACTTGCCAGGATTGGAGCTGATGGAGTTTAATTATACACTAACTAGCAGCCTGCTAATAGCAGATACATTCCTGTTCATATAGCTGGCACTCGTCTTACTTGCTGAACATGAGCTAGATTGACTAAATAAATCCCCGGCTGTATATTCCTATTAAGGTTTTTTAATATAATCTATTTATTTTATAAAGTGTATAAAAACAATGTTGTTACAGATTTGTCCCCATATTGGACGTGATAGTGCCACCGGTTGCTAGGGAAACATGCCTATTCCCACACTTTTTGGGAGTGGTTCTTATGTTCTTGAACGTTGCTCAAAAAGATGGTGCACTTGTCTGTAGTTTTTCATGTTTGTCTGCAAATACTGCTCTTCCAGCTGAAGTAAAACCTGAAGATGGTCTTGAAAGTAAAAGTTCAGCCTATGCAAGTCATTCACTATCATTTAAACCAAAATCCCGGTACTATGCCAGTGACCAAAGCAGTCAAAAGTATGTTTCATCCAAATGTTTGGGGAATACACCTTTTTCCCTAGTAGCAGGTGGTTGCCAGGGGGTCTCGCACCGGTTTATCAGCAATCCTTTAGTGAATGCCATTAGCCTCTAGCATCCAGTCAAAACTGGCTGGAGTACTCAATTTTCCCTCATTACTGATGGTTGTGGGCCTGTGTGACTGAGGCCTTATTCACTTGCTCGTGATAGGCAAACGTCCAAATGGCAGGCAGTTTAATATCACATGGTTAGTGCTTCACATATCGACAAAACCTCAGTTGGGTAATTTGGGGATTGTCTCATTCACAGCCTGGGAAGCTGTTCCACATAGCTGCCACTCAAGCTTAGTGAACCTACTCTTTACAGTTCTTTATTAGAAGTGGGAACGTTAGCCAAATGTATGTTTTCCAGGCTCAGTCAGTCGTTGTTACTAAATCATAACCAGTTATAAAGTAAGAGCTTTTTTTTTTCTTTCTCTAAACCTTAACACACATTTACATTTTTGTATTTCAAGTTCCCTAAAGTCAATCTTTTGAGTGATATTTTGGTTAGATGTCTGAAATAAGATCTCTAGTTAACACAAGCTCTAGACATTTTTTTCCTGCAATATGAAATACTTCAGTAAATAGTGCCCCAATTGTGAATCTTTTTTATTTATTTATTTTTACATTTTTTAATGTTGTCCATTGTCCCAGAGAAGGTGTTGTCTAGTAAATTATGTGTACAGTGTCATTGCACTGAACACAGAACATTTATGGCCTAACAAAAGTGTTATAATTTAGTGTCTTCATTTATTTCCTATGGAGCTTATTTTCTGACATAATTCAAAACCTCTCTGCCTTTTTGTTGTACCAGTCACAATTATAATCACTTATGGGTTAGCCTTCAAAAAAAGGTTGTGCCTGGGTAGCTTCGGTAAATTAAACTGATATGAAAATCGATTTTTATTTTATTTATTTTCTCAAGGGTGAGACGTTAAGAAGGACAAATCCTAACAAAGTTCTTCAAGAAGCAAGTCTCCGCGACTCAGAAGCCATCTCAGATGATTTTGAAGCCTATACCTAAATGAACAAAGAGAGCACCTTAACTTTGAGTTGTCATCAGAATTTAAAATTATATGCGGGGGGGGGGGAAAGTCCCTGCTCATCCTGACAGAACACTGAGCAAATGCCATTCTAGTTCATTTGAATAGACACTGTTGATTTAATTGATCCATGAGTAAATATATCCACCGCGATAT